AAATATTCGAATGGGAATAAATTCTATAGAGAAATTTAATGTAAAACTTTACCAGGATAAAAATGAGAAATGAAAATATTGGGCCTAAAAAGATACATCATGTACATTAATTAAAATAAACAAGCATAGGCTTTTAAATATTTTATACTATGATCTTAATTCCTGTAACTGTACAGATTTGAAAAATGAAGCGTAGATTTTCGCGCAGTTGAATTATATTAAAAAAATAATTTGGTTACATGACATTGAGTTTCCAAAAGCAAATGCTAATAAATTTGATTAAAAAACCACAAAGAAGAATATTTTATAAGCAAACCATATTGAAGAAAACAATTTTGTGTGTGTGTGTGTGTGATAATTAGATTGAAGAAATCTTTTTGGAAGTAAAAAAAATGTACGTTATATTTTAACTTCTAAAAAAGTACATTGTTTTGGTCTAACATTTCATCATGATTATTCTTCGTAAAAATTTAACACGCAACTTCAAGAATCTTTAGTTAAATTTTATCTTATTTATGTTTTTTTAAAGAAATATTCCATCAGTATATAAGTTCATAGCAACGAATGTATAATAAAGGTCTTGCATGAATTCTATCTCTGTATGAAAAAAAATGGAGATCTGTGGACAACCACGAATGTAAAGTTCGAGGCAGGCAGAAATCAATTTAAATAATTCAAAGACACGCTTGAAGGCTCAATTTCATTATAACTTTCATTCCTCAATAGATTACATTAATTCATAACATATATCCGAAAGAAACACTTTCAAATTTAATTATGGTAATGTATTAAAAAAAAGGCCCAATTATAGTTGGCGGTACTTCAAGTTGATATGTTAAGAAAAATTCTAAATTTTTTCTTTTTTTACTAGTAATTTGCAGTATGCTTCTGGTTATTAAAATTTTGTCCAAATCTATAGCATACATCTACAGTTTAACTGAATTCCCACAAGATTATTGGGTATTCAAGTACTATACCGTTGCCTAATTTCGTCAAATCTAAAGACATCGCCAAATGCCGCGATATGCAGCAAATAGTGGAAAACCGTTCACTCACATACTTGAATACAATAATAACGATGACAGTATTCAGCTTTATTTTCAGAACTGGCGACGTCTTTTGATTTGGCGAAATTGATCTACGGTATAATACCTTAGTACCGATCATCATTATTATTATTTTTTTATTATTAATAGAAAGCAAAGTTATTTGTGGTAAATCGAATTGTTTGCCTAATTAAGTCATAGACACATAAAAAAATAAGTTTCCAAAAATTTAAAGCAATGGTAATCACAATCCACAATTTTAGACAAACTCCCCCATCTTCAGAAGGGGGGTCCGATACATTTAAAAAATACCTTTTAATTACACCACGTCTACACAGATCGGTTTTCTTCCCTGCCATTTCATTTTGATGTCCTATTATTATTACTATTATATTTACCTTAATTTTGCATTCCGGATGTTGAACCCTCTATAAATTAAAAACCTCTAATTTTTTCCTCATTCCAAGGAGACAAAATCTTAAAAGCATCGGAGAAATAACCAGGAAGGAAAAAAACGAGCAAAATTACAACGCCAGCGCTGTATTTTGGATCTAAATAAACGACAGGCTATAATCTATGCATCTCATTAGAGAGGCCAGCGTTTTAAACTGTGCAGCCAGACAGCGGGGCATTTAGATACCGTTCGAAGCAAAGAAAGAAAAGAACCTGAAAAGAAAAGAAACGTGACTAAGATTGCAGGTCAAACGCAGGGAATCGCATACGAGATGAAGGTCAAGGGCGGTTTTGTCAGTTACTGAACGAAAAGGTATTCATGAAGTTCGCTACCGGAGTGTGTGCATTTTTTTTTTCCATTCTAATCTTTCACAAATTAAAAAAAAAAAAAAATACGTACCTCGTATAGTTATGAAGCTCAAAAAAGAGGTTCTTTTTTCCAATTTATTTTCTTATCTCTTAGATAATATCTGTAGTATTGTTCTCTATTACACACACAGCTTTGTATTCATTATTATGAAAAAAATATTGTGTTTGGAAAAAGTCGATTCTTTTTCCTAAGCTCTTTTTAATGAATAAATAAAGGACTGAAGAAATATGCAGACTTTTTGTACTCACGAGGGTTAAAGTTCTTAAATATTAAAGTTTTTAATGAGGTTTATAAAAACCATTTATTGCTTAACTAAGCCACGTGAATGAGTGTTATATTAACGTCACACCATAAAGATGCCCGAGGGCTATTGGTAGCGGACTTCGTAATTTTGAGCAATGGTCAAGTGCCAAGGAGGACACGTGAGATGGCGCCCTCCTCTTCTAATTTCTACTCCACACAAATGGGACCCCTCGACATATTGAATGTGCATCGGCGTCCTCCGCACGGCGGTACAAGGCTCGAACGCATGACACCAGCCACAATGTCACCTTAACCACTAGGCTTCAATGGCCAATTATTAAAGCCTCAGAAATGCGTGACAATACAACATATGAATCTGCCTATTGGTGGCGGCAGTAGTCAAGTGGTCATGGCCCTGAACTCGTAGCCGACTTTGCTGAGTTATGGGTTCAAAACTTGATGCCACTAAGAGCTCACCGTAAAGAGGGACATGCTAATTCTGTCGCAACTCGAAATCCTCCCATTGGCATGGAAGTTAGAAGAGCGGGATGCCGGGTAGATTGATTGAATATTAACGTCGCACTGTTCAGCTACACGAGGGCTCTTGGCAACGGACCACGTAATTTTGAACCATGATCAAGTGACGTGGACGACACCTGAGCTGGCACCCCCTATCCTAACTACTACACCACACCAACGGGAGGACGTTTCAGCTCTCGACAGATTTAACATGCATCGCTGCCCTACACGTGGTCTAGTGGTACTGGGCTCGAACTCGTGACAAGGCAAGCCACGATCCGATACATGTACCACTCGGCTACCGCGACCACGGGGATGCCGGGCAAGACGGCGTCATCGTCAGTTGACCACGGGTCAAAATTACGAAGAACGTTCCCAATAGCTTTAGAGTGCGATATTAATTAAACACTTACTCACGCGGATGGCCTCATATGTATCTCACTCTTCATACATTTACATAATATTAATGAAAACTTAAAGACCCATCTAGATTTAGATGAAGCAGCTATTAATAATTCATTTGTGCAACATTGACTCTTATATAAACAATAGCCTATTTAAGTGATCGTGAGCTTGTGACCAGGTACGTTTAGTCGAGTCGCGTTTTTGAATCAATCTAAGACCCATCTCGCAAATATGCAGAGAGCGAGAGCCTAAATTTACAGTGGATCAAAATTATGTGGCATATTGATTGTGTTTAAAAAATTGTTCCGGTTACATTGATTTTTGTATTCGCAACGTACTTAGAGGCAATACAAGGGAACTGTTGTCGACAGACATCGTAATTGTGAGCCATGGTCAATTGATGATGGTAATAACTGAGCTGGCTATTCAGCTACACGAGGGCTTTTGGAAATGGACCTCGTAATTTTAAACCATGGTCAAGCGACGAGGACGGCATCTGAGCTAGCACCCCCTCCCTAACTTCCACACTAGACCAACGAGAGGATGTTTGAGCTTCGACATATTTAACATGCATCGGCACCCTCTGTATAGAGGGTTTTCAGCTTTTCTAGGCTCGACCCCATGACACGACAGCCACGCGTCCGTTATTTTGACCACTAGGCTACCGAGGCCACATTGGGGTCATGAGGTTTTTAAATCTCATGAGGTTTCAAGTCCTCGCGTTGGCACGGTGTGGAGATTTTACGAGTGAAACGCAAGCTCAGGGTCATCCTCGACTGTGCCTCAAAATTACGATATCCGTCACCTGTAGCCCTAGAGTAGTTTCAAAATGGAACTTTAATAAACAATAATATTCCAAAAAGAATGAGGTAAACAAACATCCAATGTAATTTACGCTCCTTTCATTCTAGACTTAAGAATTTTTGTGTATATTACATTTTTTTGAACTTTTAAAATTGCCGTTTCAGATTATAAATTTAAAGACTAAAATAAAATATTCTTTACACAAGAATATAAAAAAAAATTTTTAAGTTAATTCGTACTTAGGTCAACAAAGAAGATTTTATTTTAGTTACTTTTTATTAAATAATTACAATTAAAATATAAATATGTATATACATAGAACAGAATCTCTATATTAAGTGGCAAAATAGAAAGCGATTTTCCTTGCAATTCTCCATTTTCCCTTCTATATACGGTGTTGGATTACTTTTTTTGTTTACTATTTATTCATTAATTAAATTTAATTATTCTAATGAAATAGTATAGTAAAGAAAAACATTCTCGGAAATTAGGTCGCCCCAGGTGGAATTTGAACCCACGATTAGAACCTTTGGATTAGAAGTCCAACGCGCTATCCATTGCACTACAAGGGCACAGCGAACGATTTTCCTTTCTATATATGCTGTTGGACTATTATTTTGTTTGTTACTATTTATTCCTTTTTAAAATTTAATTAATGAATTAATATTTGAAAAAAAAATTGCATTAACATCAAGTGTAATCCACTGCAAGTTAAAAAAAATTGAATAGATGAATAGAAAGTATTTTCTTAACGATTGAAAATTTGAACAAGATATATATATAGGGAGAGAGTGAACTAAAGGAAAGGAATTGAAAAATAAAGCTATTTCTACTCACGCGATGAGTTCGCGAACTGCGAAAAAGACGAGTAAGAAAGTGATGAGTGAGAAGTTTAAAATTGTTAAGTAGAGCTTCCTACGCGTTTTCATTCGAAAAAAAGCGAGAAGAAAACTTTTTACAATTAACACTTCAAACCGTGTGTCTGTCTGTCCATCAATCCATAACGAGATGAATCGGTCAAATTCTTGAAAACGGAAATTGTTCGTCTGTAGGAAAGATTTGTTCCTGCTGTTTGACTGTAACGAATGGGAGAATTGCATGTACCATGGTAATGAATATTATATGTAAAAAGTGTGTGTGTTGAAGGTAAAAACTATAGTGTAAATGATAAATAAGAGTTGCTACTGTAGATTATATGTCACTGTAATACTCTGATTATGAATGTAGAAATGCAAAGATTACAATTCTAATATAGGTGATTTTTTTCCGTTAAGGAACGTAAAATTAATTAAGGAAAATGTATTTGTGATTGATATAAGAGGAATTATTTTAACAATATATGAAACAAAAACTCTTATAACGTTGCATTAAAAAATACATTGGCACAGAATTCTGGGAAATTGAATGCTAATACTTTTTAAAAAATAGAACACTTATATACGATTGGAGAAAAAGATTGAAAAAGATAGCTTCAAAAGCAAAAAAAAAATAAATTAAAGCATTATTTTTCGAATTTCAAGTAAAGGAACAACATTTCGATAAAAAATGAAAATGTTAAATTCTAGAAAAATTTTTCGAGAATTTTTTTTTCCATTCGTTTCGTAAATTGATGCATTTCTTAGAAGATTAATCTACAAAACTGTAAAAAAAAGAGAAAGTTATCTTTAGATGGCATCATACTAAGTATGTTATTCTACATCAGTGTTTATTGTAATCTGTTTATGTAAACAAATAAGATTAACGATATAACTCCTTAAATACATTGATGTACTTACACAGCAAAGAAAAAAATAGTAAGGAAATATTTTACGCTTAAATTACACTTTTAAAATATTATTCAAATTTTGAAAAATTCTCAGAAATGGAAATTCCCTTTCTCTACATGAAACACAATTTGCATCGTTGAAAAGTTTATATTTAATATTTTTGACTACTGTAAAATAATAAAAAAAATAATCTTTTCTAAGTACTTGCTCAATATTTCTATTGCGTAATTTTCATGACTTTTGCAATTTATGAACATTACTCGGTTTCGTTATAACTGTAATTCAAAAATATTTAGAATAAATTTCTTTTCTCAATAATCTGAGAATGAATTCTGAGCATCAATTCTATTAGCAAAAATTATGTGACTCAACATTATTAGTTTTCGTAGATGCATAGTTAGTGGATAATTTGCACTATGGAAAACGAGATTGATTGTTTACTAACATTAAAGCAATACGAGGGTTAATGATGACGGACCATAATTAAGAATTGCAGACAAATGGCGAGATTGACAAATGAGTTGGCATAATGTTCTCCAAACTTCTACGCTACACTAATACAGAACATTAGAACATTTGCAGTATTTATAGACTATGTATAGTTAAATTTACTAAATAAAATTAGGGGAAAAACGAAATGTATAAACTCCATCAAAATTTTTTTTTTAAAATTCATTGATTGAGATGGCAATTATAGCTAAAGTTACAGTAAAACTAATGAGATAAACTCGTTTTCTACCATAGAAAGCAGGTTGTCAAGGTAGAGAGTAATACGAATGTGGAAATCTGAAGTGTAGTTTAGAATTTCATTTCTTACGTTATAAAAATATATCTAAATTAATATCTGGTGCGTATAAGAGATGTAATTACAGAAATATTGCACAGGGCATTTGATTCTGTAACGTCAAACTTTTTAAGAACCAAATTGTATTTTAAATTTCTGCATGTTGTGTGTGGTATACGAATGCTTTAAAATATTTAAAAAATAAAAAAAATAATGGAATATATACGAAGCCAAAAATTTTAAATAACATTAGCCATTTCAGTTGAAATGAATCGCCTTTTCCCTACATTTTCAATTTATGGTATAACCGATTGTGATTTAAATAAACTAAATGTTTAAAATTAATCGCTTATTAGAGAATTAATAAAAGTTTTTAAAAGCAGAGAAAAAAATGCAAAAAAAAAAGATATCAATTTATGAAATTTTTTGTTATATGATCAAAAGCACGAAGATATTGTACCCAAGATATTTAAGAAAATGTCTTTATACATTGATAATATAAGATATTTAAAACAAATACGTAATACATAGATTCATTTGTAAAATTGTCACGCTTTTAAATATATTCATAACTAAACAATTGCTTATAAGTTAGATAACACACAATTGAAATATCTGTTAATCTAAGAAAATCAAACAAAATTACTAACTAGAAACAAGGACTCACAAAAATTATCTGTAGAAAGATAGTCTTGGCCAGATCATAAGATATTCGAATTTAACAGCGAAGATTCGAATGACTATATTTACAGAGAGCATGGTATCTTATAGGTAAATTCATAGCCCCTGACTCACCCCCCTTGTAGGCTTGGCCTTAGCTGACTGGTTTAAAACCTGTTTTTATAATGACTTTACAGGGGGATCCCCTCCCCCACAAAAAATGATAAACATACTGCATTCGCGTCTGTTTTTCTTTCGAGGGTGGGTAAGGATTGTTATGTTTATTTCAATAAATTTCACTGGTTTCAGTAAATTTTGAAGAATATGATAACGATAATAAACGAATGATTCATGTGTTGTACCACGAATCGTACACAATTCCTCGTTCTAAGAAAAGATACGGATTTTGGACCCCCGCCCTTATAATAAATAATTACAAAAACATTCCGTAAACAACGCATTTTATATTTGTCTTTTCTTTTCAGGGTTGGGGGTTAAGTATTATATATTTATTTCAATATTTTAACTGATTTTAGCATATTTTTTTAGAATGTGATAATGACACTACATGAAAGATTCACACTCAATACTATATCCCCTAAGGGTATAATTTTGTGTTTAGAAAAATCTAAAAAGGTAATGTAATATAAACATTTTCATTTAAATTCAAGCAAATCAAAGTTTTGTTTAAAAAGAAACTAACACGTACCTTTTCATAAAAATACAGATAAAATAGCGATTAGATATTTATTTTACTGGAGTGTTCAAAGTATAGTCTTCAAATTCAAGAATTTCAATAGATTCAATATATAAGAAGATCCACCAAACTATCTTCAAGATTGAAATTTTGAATGTATTACATTCGAAAATCAAGATTTTTTGTTTTTGATTTGCTCATCGAGTATTTTAAGATTTATGAAAAAAGTGAAAATTCTAATATTTTTGGTAATCTATAACTTATCATTTTCAAAAAGGGAAAATTAAAATAGAATATTTGCAATTTTAATATGCTTATACTTTACACAGTTTGCATATTATATACTTATGACGCATCAGTTAAGTCAAACCTACATTTCCTTGACAATATCACAAAACCCATATCTATACTAACATTTACTCTGTATTTGCAGCTAACAACTCAAGAAGTTTTAAATATAACAAAAGCTTTAAGTTTTAAATTTAAAAACAAATTGCTCTGAATTTTTAAAATTTATAGTTGATTCTTAAATGTGTGTGTCAACAACTCGTTTAAATATTATACTCAACAACAGCAGCAGCAGCAACAAATACATGAAGCATACAAAATATACGTACAAAGTAATCTTTTAACTAAATGCAAGGCGTAGAGATTATTTCCCAAACTTTAAAGTTGGCGAGAGTGTGAGAATATTAACATCGCAATGTAAAGTAAAACTAGGGCTATTAGCGACGGATTTCGTAATTTTGAACCTCGGATTAGAATCGTCGCACCTGAGCTGGCTCCTCTCTTCCGAACTACAACACCCTGACAATTTTAACGTGTATCAGTCCCTCTACATGGCATGTCCTCATTATACTAGGCATGGATATCCACCTTTTTTTTCCAGCCGGACCACATACATATGAGAGATATTTCACACGGGCTGCCATATGAGGATTAGTGGAAAAAGCATTATAAGACCAAGGTAATATTTGACTCTTAAAATGTGTAGAAAATTGATCACAATATTAAAACTAATTTTTCGGCTATATTATTCTCTGTCAAACACAGATAAATTTTTTTTTCGGTTTTATACTTTTTTTACCGAGTTGTAAAGCAATTTGGGTTTCCTTCCACCCATAACCCATTGTCGTACAAACAAAGCTGCCATACCGTTTGATATTTTTATTTCAAATGTTAATTTATAAAGCGTAGAATGGCAACAAAAAAGTTGACTGAATTCTAGATTGAAATCAGTATTATTTGTTTATAATTTAAACTCTTCATCCATAAAATAGACACTACTCCAGTTTACTTTGCTATTTCACTGTTATTACTACCTGTTAAGCTGCATTCACATCAAGGCAGTCAGCATTGAGCGTCTAGCTAATCAGAGATTTCATCTCGCCCGAGATGAAGTCTCTGATTAGCTAGACGCTCGATACTTACTGCCGTGGTGTGAGTGTGGCTTTACAGTTACCAATAGACAAAAAAAAAACTTGCAATTCGTATCCATACGACATCGATGGCAAAATAGGTAGATTTGATTGGTTGATTGATAGTACTTCCTGCTAAATTTTTAATACATTGTTCTTGAATAGTTGAGTGGCCGTGGTAGCCAGTGGTCAAGGTATCGGAAAGTGGATGTCATGTCACGAGTTCGAGCCCAGTATCACTAAGGAT